TTCTAAAGTTTCTGGTCGATGAAAGTTCACACAAATAATAAAATTTTTACATAAATCATAAATGATAAAAAATATCAAAAAATGCCCCGAGTGCAAAGGGTTAAAATCGAACGATTAATAATTTTTAAATTGAAAATGAATATTTTCAGTAAATTTTGACAAACACTCAACACGATTTCAGGTATAAAAGTGTTCGACACCTGCCGAGACGAGATGACAGTGTACAAACACGCGTTGCAAGCAGCGGTGAACTCAGAATGCGTGGACCATTACGAGATGGGAATACTATTGCCGGTGGAATACGCGATGATTTTGGAGCCGCTTCGTAATTACAGCGTGTTGCCTATTAGCACGTACAACGAGCAGAATTTGACGAGGCCCTTGATTAATCTAATGGTTCACTACCTGAGTACCAGATTCGAGACTATCGATCACCTTCTAACGAATTCTGATTTCGCGTTAAACTTATTCCTGGATATAACCAAGGAAGCTGGAATTTGTGTGAGAAATTACGGCGACACTTTGGATATAGAGGACGGTGAAACTGATGCTGTGATAGCTGTGATTGGACAGAGGAACGATATTAGACAGTGGATCGAGAGGGGAGAGAAGATGCAGGGATCTAGGAAAACGTGGATAGCTTTGCCTCTCGATGGATCGAATATCGACGGTGAGAATTATAGTGAGAGTTATACGGGAGTGCTGTGTGTTATGCTCCAATTATTAAGAATCCTAATTATTTGAATTGGGAATATTTAAAAATTCCTAGAAATTAAGAATTACTAAGTTAGGAATTTGGAATTTTTTAATTTTCTCTTCCTTCAGGAATTAGGGATTTTTAAATTTCCTTTCTTTTGGGAATTAGGAATTTTTTAATTTCTCAATTTCTAATTTAGGAATTCCCAATTTTTAGGAATGATTAAATTTTCTCTTCCTTTAGGAATTAGGGATTTTTAAATTTCCCTTCCATTAGGAATTAGGAATTTTTAAATTTCCTAATTTCTAATTTAGGAATTCCCAATTTTTAGGAATGTTTCAATCTTCTCTTTCTTTAGGAATTAGGAACTTTTAAATTTCCTAATTTCTAACTTAGGAATTCTCAATTTTTAGGCATTTTTAAATTTTCTTTTTTTTTAGGAATTTTTAAATTTCCTAATTTAGGAATTCTCAATTTTTAGGAATTTTCAAATTTTCTCTTTCCTTAGGAAATATTACTTTTCAATTTTCCCAATTTCTAATTTAGGAATTTTTCAATTTTCCTAATTTTTCAGATTTTTTAAATTTCGCTAATTCGACATTTTTTAAAAATAATCCTTTACTTCTCAGACCTAGTTCCTCCAGGCTCGTACGTCGTGAGAACCTCGGCTTTCAACCTGGACCTCCTTCGCCAGATCTCTTCAACAGAGGAGTTCCTCGAAGGAGCGAGCAATTCAGTGATCCATTCACCACATTTGCTCGGAATTGGCAAAGCCATCGTCGAGCTGGCTCAGTTGCTGCAAGATCTGCAGAAACGAAACTGTCCACGGGGTACAGAGACGTCGTGTGTGATGCCACGATTCAATCCTCACACCAAAGTCGATGTACGAAACGTCGACGTGTACAATGCACTTCGTATAATTCCAAAATCACACTCGATTAAATACATCGTGGCTATGAGGAGCCAACAAGAGTTGATCGACATGGCCACTTATAGGATAGAACCGGCGAATTCCAAGTTTCGTATTTCACCGGAGTCGAGGGTGCCAAAGATGCCGAAACTCTGCTTGAAGAAGCATCTGAAGAACTGTGAGGGTTGCGCGAATTTTAAGAAAAGATTCGGCCCCCGCGGTGTGACCAAAGGTTTGTGAG